TTTTTTTAACAATTGGAGGGGGGTTGCCCCCCTGGCCCCCCCCCTTCCCTCCGCCCCTCACTGAAGCTGAAGCACTTCTTATGGAAATGTCTCCACACAATATCTTGCCTACTAACAAAGAACTTCACAGCAGAACAGGTAAAGGGGAGATTTGGTATAAATGCTGTGGAGATGAAGTGGAAACCTTAGAGCACCTATTGTTTCATTGTAAAGCAAGAGAGGATGCATGGAGGACATTTCCAATCAAATGGGATGGACACAAGTGCAAATTCTGGAATTGGTCGGAAGCTTTACAGGAAGCTAGAAGGAGGGCAGATGGACTGCGCCATATCGAAGCCACAGCAAATTTTCTGTGACAATTATATATGGAAAGCCAGAAACATGCAGAACTTCAATAATGATAGGCTTGAAGTCCTGGCTACAAATCACGAGAAGGCAATGGATGAATGGTATGAATACAAACAGCTTGGAAGCCCGGGGAAAATGGAAAAGGATGAAACGGCCCAACCACAACAAGGCATGAAGAGCTAAGAGCACTCCAGAACCAACACTCAGTGCTTGTATACACAGATGCCACCTCTAACAAAATCCAGAACAAAGGGGGTACTGGTATTGCTGTGAAGAATCACAATCACAGCCTCGTACTCTGCACATTTCCAAAACAGTAGAGATGATGCTGCTGCTATCTTGGAAGCTGAGGCAATCAGGACTGCCCTGCTCAAGGCAATGGACTTGGACTCGACTTCAATTCTGGTTTATTCTGATTGTAAGGCTTTAGTTGACAGAATTAACTTGAAATGTAAGCTGGTAGATGGTATCTTAGTCTAAGTCGGGCCTTTTGGCTATGTTCATTCACCTTCATTGAGAGGGACTGTAATCGCTGTTGTACGGGTTGGCAAAATTCGCCATTAACCTTGTTGATGATGATACTAGGTGGATGGAAGGAAAGCTTTCCTGTGTGGATTATGAAAGAAGCACACACTGATTCTCTGGCAGATGCCTGTCTTATGTAAGTAAATTGTAACTATTAATCCTCTAATTTATACAATGATGACATTTTGACAAAAAAAAAAGAAAGAAAGAAAGAAACAAGCATTGTCTGCGTTATTTGAATAGAAAGTGCATGGGCAACCTGTATAGATTTTTAGTTAAAAAGCATAAATAGCCAAACTAACTAGTATCATACTACTATTTGTGTTGAAATAATATATATTTTATTTTCTTGATAACACCCCTCATAAATAATTTAGTTGACAAAAAAAAATTACAAGTTTCAAAGGAACTAAATGACTAAATAAGAGACTTTTGGATTATTTAATACTCCATTCTTATCAAAATTACTCACAGAGTACTTTACTTTTCAAAAAATTGGTGGGGAGAATTAAAATCAAGTACAGAAATCAAATATATGGATGCATCATAAACACTACAATTAAGTAATGAAGCCATGTGGTGAAAATTTCTTTACTTTAATTCAATTATAGGTGAAAGATTTATCAAATTGAATCTAAATAGCAGGTAATATACACCTAAGCAAGTACGTTTAGATTTTTTTTTTTCATTTGTTTCTTGTCCTCGGCAGCAACGTAACTTGTGGATTGTATAGCATTCATGGAGAAGGTTAAATCCATTTTCATTCTGATTCTATTCATCATGTCAACTTGTTAAGATTTTCTCTCTCCATCTCTCTCTCTCTTTCTCTCTAGTGTAAGCAGGAGTTGAGTTCGAGATCTTTCGTTTATATTTTCTTTGTCAAACCATCCAACTCATTCTTTGATTCTTAAATTTTAAAGCTATGTTTTCAAATTCGAATCAAATTAATCGGTCTGACTGATCGAACCATGAACCGATCAGATATTCTACTCGAATCTTCCTCAAAAACCAGTTGTCAAAAAATTTGGTCAAATCCGGATTTGATCGAAAACCAGCAAAACCGGCTTTTAACTTGCACAAGTGCTAGAAAAAGTTTTCTTTCCTTCACATGTGTGTGCTGAGGGGCGTCGTTGTCTGCGCAAGTATTTTTATTGTTGTTCCATCGTCCTATTTATTGCAATAGAACTGCCTCCAGCCATACCCATTAAATTATGCGACTACTTGAATTTTAAACATTAATTTCCTTAAAAAAAATTTTTCAAACATTAAACATAAAAGAAATCAGTGGTATGAGCCGGTTTTTCCATTTTTCTATCCTGATGGCTTTTTTTCCCCCTCTCTCTGACCATGTAGAGAGTTTCGTACCTCTGCAACTTTCCAACAACTGAAAAATCCAAATGAAATGGTCAATGTCAAGCAATTCACTTGGAGATTGTAGCATGATTTACGCCATGATCACACAACATTTTCTTCCAACTCTGTTGTCATTTATAGAATATAGAGAAAAAGGGGGAGATCCCTTCCTCTTTGCTTGAATCTGAGATCAATTCATGGTTTAGATGAATTGTTCTTTTTATTGAATTTGAAATGTTTCATTAAGAATCCAAATTAAGAGAAAAATTCCATTCTCTAAATTCTCCAAGTTCTTGAAAATTTCATATTAAATAGGAAAAATAGAAAAAAGACGAGAAGAGAGAGGAAGGGAAAAGAAAAGAATGAAGAAAAGAGAAAGTTTCCATGTTTGTTTATTGTGTGTGATGAAAGAAAAAATAGAGTCCTGGGGTAGAGAAAGAAGAAGAAAAATGGAAGATTAAGAGAGAGAGAGAGAGAGAGAGAGAGAGAGAGAGAGAGAGAGAGAGAGAGAGTGAGTGTCTGTGTGTGTGTGTGTGTGAAGGGGGGAGATGAGGAGGACGGGGGAATTGACGGCGGAAAGAACAAAAAAGATGAATTAGGTTTGATATTTGTTAGCAAGGATGAATATCCTAAACGTTTATGTTAATTGCATTTTGGCCTTTCATTATTTTAATAAAGTATAAAATAACCTAATATATTTTCCAAGTTATATTTTCACCTATAATTTTTAAAGTTTTTAAATTGAATCTTTTGAACTAAATCTAAACTTATCAAGTATGTAAATGAAGTTGTAAACCACCAATTTAAAGATAACTTTTATATATTATTAATATATATTTATGACATATTTATAACGTCATCCGATTTGACCCTGATCTAACCGGTTGAACCTATTGACCTCTGATCCTTAAGGTAGATGGAGTCGCTGCCCCATCCGAATTTCAAAACATAGCTTCAAAGTGAGATATTTAAATCCCTAAACTCTAGCACTTGTCCTACTTTAGTCACTAAAGTTTTTTGAAAACATGTTCCATTTTTAATCTTTGAAGTATAAAATTAGTCATACTTTAGTCCCTAAATTATACCCATGTAAGTATAAAATCTGGCTCATTTCCTCAAAATCTTGCTTAAGTAGAACAAATTTTATAGTTTAGGGACTAAAGTGAAAATTTAGGTATAGTTAAAGGATGCAAAGTGAAATTAATCTTAATTTTTGTGATATAATGTATGTGAGATTAAAAAATAGTTAAAAATTGTATTTATGATGAAATCTAAATAATATTTGAAAATTCTTTTTTAAAAATTATGGTAACCAAACAGACTCAATTGTAATCGACTATTTTGCCCATAATCTATATATCACCTACATAATTATCACCTCAAGGGTATCATAGGACGTTGATAAAAGATTATTTAGGGATTAACTTGAACAATGAATTACAATCCTGCAAAGTCCATAACACCTAAATTGACCGATCCACTGCTTTTTTAATGAGCTAAAAACCAAATTCAGCGAAATATTATCCATTCCTAATTTTTCAAAATGCTGATTCTGAAAAATATACTTAATTTTCCAACTTGTTGTTTGGCAAAAGTTACACTGGATTAGCTTTTTTATATCTATAAAGGTGCGCACGATACTATATACACGTTATATTTTTAAGCCTTCTTATTTACTGACCAATACATAATTGAAAATGATAAATTACATCACAAGTTATGAACATTCTACCGCTGGCTCCTTCATAAAAATTAGAAAAGGAAAAAAGTTTCCATTATGTTTTAGTATAAGGTAAATTATATTAACTCCCTTTCTAGTTTTTATAAAATTCAGGAATCACTCCTCTTGACTTCAGAATAAGAGGAACCTAGCCTCTCGTTTGTTAATATAAAAAAAAAAAAAAAATCTCTACCATTAGTTAAGGGAGAAAAGTTAACTATTTTTGTCATAAACTCACTTAAAAAGTACTTAATTTGGTAACATTAATTATAACTATATACCTTAAAATTTAGATACACTTGCGCATCTATTTATTTTGACTCCAATCCAAACGCCACCTAACATTCTACAAGTCGACTATTCTATTGGATTTGAGTGAAATCTGGATCAGGGATTTCTTCATCGCCTGATCTAAGCTGTGCATCTTCAGAGTCCATATATTTTTAGTGCCAATTTGGCTATCACTTGTGCCGGTGAAGAAGTGGTACTGGGCAGTCACAATGCGGGTGTAATGGCTCCCCACTATAATCATTTTATTGTAATCCCATTGTTATTATTTGTATTTTATTTGATTTAAATTATGTAATATTATGTTATAGAGTTCAACTAATTACATTTCGAATTATTAATTAAGTATGGATTATTATGATATCTTTGCATTTGAGGTATCAAATATTTGTTTAATTTTCTGCATAATTATTTTTGAAAAAATAACAATATATTATTTTGAGAGATAGAAAAAGATATATTATTCAAACTTAAAAATTAATAATATTATTTTTAAAAAATAAAAAATTTAATGAAAGTTAGTACTTTATTTTTTAAAAGTAACAAAATTATTTTTAAAAATTACTTGTTTATTTATGGGATATGAGTATGCATTATTAAAATAAATATTTGATTTAATTATGAATCCATGCTATTACATTTTGTGAAGTGTAATCTATTGTGAGTGAAAGTGTAATATAAGAGGAGAAAGTGTGATACTGACGTGGTACGTGGATTACACGTCATAATATCACTGTGGATGCCCTAAAAGACAGTGATTTTGTGAGTGAAAACGGCAAAAGCATCAACTTGTGTCGATTTGCGCTTTGAATTGGCTAGAGGTTCCGAGGTGGGAGTCAGCTTTTCTGTGGACTCAAATACTTACCTTTGAACCAGAGTTCATTTTCAGAACATTTGCTGATGAATCTTGAAGCTGTGGTTTTAACCGATTTGCGATCTGGACTTGCTGATATTTGTGAAGATGCAAAGCTGTTTCATTCGACGATCTTGTATTTTCTCATAGATTATGTGCCAACTCCCAAGAGCGACTGATCTTTTCAGGCCAAAAATTCATTTGGCAGCTGCTCATGCCAGACTGACAAAATCCTCAAGGTATTCTTATTCTCTTGTTGGCTATGTTGAAGAAAATTTGGAGATGAAGTTCTTTGATTGATGAAGATATAGTCAATCCGCTTCTTGGTTTCCTTCTCTCCATAGACAGTCAAGTTCAGATCTTTCATCTGGGATTGCCCTTTCTGAAAAAAATCCTACTTGAGATGGAACTGATGTTGTCTCTTATCAAAGAAGTGGATAGGGAAGCTCTGGATTTCTTGCTTCATTATTATTGGATGCTGGTCGACAAGGTCAGTAATCACTCAAATCTGGTGCTTTATAAATTGCTTGATATGTTTAAGATTGTTAAAGTAGCTGTATTCTTGTTGGAGCAAATGAAGTATAAGACCTGTTTGAACTTCCCTGCAAAACGACGAATTTTAGGCCTTCATGAGGGGCTGAAATTCTGCAAAGGATTTCTGTGGTCTGTCAAGAAGATGAATGGATTGCTGTCTGGTTCTTTGATTGAAAAGATTAAGGATGCGAAGGCAGAGGAGGCCGGAGCAAGGCCTCCCCATGTTGCAAGGTCTTCAGTGTCTAATTGGCCCAAGAATGATCAATTTGGCAGCAGTGATTTCTTCTTGGGAAACCTGGGGGAGCTTTTGGACTGCCGGGCTGATCTAAATGCTCATATGAACTGCGAAATTAAGGTGCTCTTGAGGCATTTTAAACCAGACTCAATTACTATTACTGACGTTGTGGTGAGGCTCAATGATCAACTGGAATTAACAATGAAGCAAATTACCAGGGAATCATTGCAGATAGATACTGTTGGCATGACCGGATTTGGAAAAATAAGTTTTATTGAATAAACACCGTCATGGTCCTTCAGCAAAATGTTGCTTCATGGTTTAATGAAAGGTCATTCTAGAATTCAGCTGCAAGCATCAACTACTTGAGTTGAATCCTGCTTCTTTTACCTTGGAGCATTTCCAGAAGACAAATGTTGTTATGGATTGTTGAAGGATTCATATAAAAACGGTTTCAAAGCACTTAGAGGACATTGCAGAAGACTAATTGACAAATCAAATCGATAGATGCATGGCACTAGTCGGCAGAAAGATTTTAAGAGTGGTAGAAGCATGTCCTATAAATGTGGAATGCCAAAATAATGTTGCCAAAGCAAAATCCAAACATGAGGCCAAAACATGTCGTCTTCATGATTCGATACCTTATGCAATTACGGATTGCTGAAAGGTTTATCTGAAAAATGAAAATTGGCTCAAACTGCATAGAAGATATTGCGGAAGATTGATTTGATGCATCTAATTGGTAGAAAGTCTGGTAACCTTTGCTTAAAAAATATGCGATATTACTTATCCAAAAAAAAGAAAGATCCAAGGTGGGGTAAACATATGTGGTGTTCATAATGTGTTACATGATGTTGTTATGGATTGCTGAAGGATTCGTACAAAAGAAGTGATTTGGAAAGCTTTAAATGTGTTGCAAAGGGTTACTTGATGGATATAATAGGTAGAAGCTTTGCAATAGTTGCTTCCGAAAGATCCAAGGGTGGGGTAAAAGCATGTGGTGTAATAAATTGTTATGTTATTTGATACTGCAATTCAAATTATACATAGCTTATTGTGTTCAAGATTTCTCTGATTTGCTCTTTTCCATTTAGTATAAACCAACATAGTACTCTGTTGATGAGGATTGAGATAGCATATCATTGTTGATTAGTTTTAAAACCTCAAACTGAGAAAAGCATGATAGTACTACATTCATAGGTCTGGTTGAGTTAGTTTCTATATTTTGCTCTAAAGATCTTGTTACTGGAACTAGTTTGGAAAGTAAATTCTGAATAAAGTTAAAGAAAAACCATACTATGCATATCACTCCCTCCTTCCGGAAAGAGAAGAATTGTATGATAATAGCAATTTCACCAATGAAGTACATCCTTGGAAGACCCAAAAAAAAAGGTAGAACAGCAATTTTTTTTTTTTCTGGCTTTTCTTGAGTTCTACTACAGGATTCATTCGCTGAGACATTCACCGCCAAGCACCCTTGGATTCCATCTGTTCCAGGGAGATTATATAAACAAATAAGTGTAACAATGAAGTATAACAACCAAGATACTGCAGCAATTTGTCATAACAAAATGAAAAGATTGGCCGCAGAAGTGTGAAAAGTTGTGGAAGGAAGGTCTAAGCTTGGGAGGATTATGATTGTAGCATACCTCCCTTGAGACGGAGGGCATGACCGTATTAGTAATCAGTGTTGGATGCCATATACACAGTTAATATATCAGTAATCAGTTACAAGCTATAATACATATCGAGGTACAACAAAAACACAATGAGTTCTAATTATACTCCACAGTTAGATTATGTTGTTTCATAACTCTTTCCAGTTGTCCGATTTAACACAATTCTTAAACCAAATCTTTCAGAAAAACCTTCTTGTTGAAGATTGAGATAGTATGCATCTTCGATCGGTTTGAAAACCTCAAACTGAGAAAAGCATGATATATAGTAGTACTACATTCGTAGGTCTCATTTCATATGTTTGAGTTAGTTTCTATATTTTTATATAAAGATTTTGTGAACTAGAATTAGTGTTGGCAAGCAGATTCTGAATAAAGTTAAAGAAAAACCATACTATATACACATCACTCCTCCCTTCAGGAAAGAACATCCTTAAAACTCAGGAAAAATGAGGAGTTGAAAGATTTTATTGGCGATTCTTGGATTCTACTACAGGATTAATTGGCTGAGAATTGACCGCTAAACACCATGCTTTGATTCTATCTGCTTCAGGGAAACTATATCAACAAATAAGTGTGAAAATGAAGTGAAACAGCCAAGATATTGCAACAATTAGTCATAACCAAATGACAAGATTGGCAGCAGAAATTTGGAGAAAGGATGAAGAAGGGTAAGGAATCAAGATATGAAGGAAAGTCCAAGCTCGGAAGCAATATTGTGGTAGCATTTCTCTCTTAAGATGGAAGCCATGAGGTTGAGAGGAGTATTTGGCTAGCTTCTACACTAAGCTGCAGCACCTTTTTTCAATTGCCAATGCTTCAGTCAGTGCTAGTTCAGTAATCAGTTGCAAACTATAAAAGATATCGGATAGAAAAAACACAACAAATTCTGATTATATTCCATAATCAGATTTTGCTGTTTCAATTATGTCTGTATCATATCAATCTACAGACACACTTTCTAGTTGTCCAATTTAACACAATTAATTCTTCAACCAATTCTTTCAGAAAAACCTTCTTGCCCCAGAGTCTAATGGCCTTCTTGGGATTAAGTGCACTTTTGCTCTTGACACTGCATGTAACTCCATACTCGTTTCAGTTACAAAAGAAGTTTCTTCCTAAATTACACAAAATTTGAGAATAGTTGGTAGAGTTAAGCAAGCAACATTTCTTTTATTGAGGATCACAAACATCAACTAGAATCAACTAGCATTGGAAGCATCAACATTCTTTTTTTTTTTTTTTGGGCATAAGAAACTCTTGCGTTTGGACACTAAGATGGAATAAATTACTCCTCTCCTAATCATGCGTTGATTACCTGTGACAAAGTTGGACAATTTAGAGTCATCTGTTGAAGAAATATAACTAATTTTAGGCAGTAATCTCAGGAGGTGTAAGTTTGATCTCAACCTTTTGTAGCATGGAATGGAATACAAAGGGTGGGGGGGGCTTTTCTTGGGGGTTAAATATTTACCTTAATAAGTTGGAGGACCTAAGGTGTAATATAAAGTCTCATAGGGAATGGCTAACGTAATATCCAAGTGAACAGACGCTTTCAAGGCCTTAATCGTTGCATGACCCAGAAGATATGGTCAATATAGAATACATATTGAGAAAGCGTGGCTCTACCAACAGAAACATGTTGACCTTGGTCGATCAATCCTTGGTTTTGATGATTAACAAACCAAAATGTAGATTTGGGCTAATATTTTTATGTGAGTAATTTGTTAGAATAGATTCTTGTGGCATAAAAGAAGAAGCAAAAACAGGACTCATGTCGGACGCTATCGGACGTCCGAAAGGATGAAGAACATCAAGAAGGAAACTCTGTCGGACGCTCGTGAGGAAGCATCGGACGTCCGGAAGGATCGGACGCACGCCTCGGACGCACATCGATCGCATCGGACGTCCGAGAAATTTCGCAAAGATTTGATGACTCTCTGCCTACGTTCGGACGCAGGGTTCGGACGTCCGACAGGAGGTCTCGGACGTCCGACAGGCCAACGGCTAGTTTTGACAGCATTTAATATTTGACCGTTGGAGAGTCTTTTGGAGCCATTTCTCACCTTCTATAAAAACCCCAAAGCACAAGAAGACAAGGGACTTTTGCCAACACAAAATACAAGCTTACAAGTGAGATTTTTGAGTAGAAAGATTCTTTGTTGGTTGTATAAGGGGTTGGGAAAGTTGGGTTGTGAGGTTGCTCAAGTGAAAACCTTGGTGAAGGTGAACCTATCACTTGGAGTGGTAAAACCTTGGTGAAGGTTGCCTCATTTGTATAAAATAGTTCTTAATTGGGTGAGTGATCTTTCAAGTGTAGGTTGTTGAGGGTTAACTAGAATTGTTGTAAAACTCCTTGGCTCAACCAAAGAGTATTTGGGGTGAGGAAGGAGTGAACATTCACTTGTACATCTTGGTTAGCATCGCCATCAATTGAAGAGACTATTGGATTGATATTTGGTTTGCATTTCTTATCTTTTCTCTTTAATTAAGTTTTCTTTATTGTGCTTAAATTTGATATATTTTTGTGCATCATTGTGAAATTGTTTGTACTCATTGGGTTGCACCGGGTATTACAAAACATATTAACGCCTTTTGTCTGCCTTCATTATTGTCATGCATCCCACAAACTACCCCTGATAAAAGCAACATGAACAGCAGAGAATCAAAGACAAATTATCTAAAAAAGTTTGGATCTTATATTACACTTTCTGTTACATCAAGGATGAAGTTATAAGGAACTTAGAAAAACTTATTTGAAATTAAAGATAAAAGCTTGAAAAATATCAATTAAAATGACAATGAAATGAGGGTCGGGAAGGGGGGTGAGGATTGAATTAGGTGACAAGGTGGAAGGGATTATAAGCAAGAGATTTGATTCAATATCTCCCACTTACAATAACTAAAAATAATAATAATAAATACGATCAGATGAGAAGAGAAATTATGATCAGAAAAATAAATAAATAAGCAGGAGGGACAGCAAAGAATTGTATTACTGCAAAGAGAAATACAGCCTTTTACATCTTCTATGAAATCTTTTGAATGGTTATACTGCAAGGCAAATTAAAGCATTTGAAACATGAATAAACACATATATATATATCGATTAAAATTTTTTTACAGAGGATGCATTTATGCCAAAAATTAGTATAACAAATGAAAGTAAAATATCCAAAAATGCTCATGGATTACACATCTTTTTTCTCTGATGCAACCATTATTCTACGAAACATTAATTACAAACTTTGATGCATAGAGATTAACTAGCGTTTATATCTTTTCTTTTCTTTTTTTTTCTAATAAGGGACTTCATCATTTTTGCCACACACTACACTACAAGTCTACAACTACAAGATAGAAATAATCGAGCCTATTAAGTGTGATACTTGTGAATAAATTGAATATATCTTTTAAACAAAAATGAGCTAACTTCAACTAGCAAAATTAAAGATGATTAAGAGAGGTTTTCGTGTTTGTCGCTTGCAATATGGAAAGGTGACCTTGTTTTGGGGGTGGATATCCATGGCTTAAAAAGTTGAAGGACTTGAAAGCATAATTCTGTTGTCTTTTAGAAGCGGACGCCTTTATCATTTGAAAACAGGCTCAAACGGAAAAAGCGGAATCTGGTAAGAGCCTACGCCGTGAGGAAACGTTTTAAAGAGTCGGGGCAAGCTTACGCCGTTTTTCTTTTCCCCTGAGAATGCAAGAAGGCGTGGTTTTTGCAGCATTAACACTCTCCCGCCTTTGCCTTTCCAGCACCTAATGAGGTGCCTCCATTGTTATGGCAAAAAATAATAATGAGTGTGCATGGATAGCAAAATTATTTCAAATATTATTTTACTTATATTATAAATATAAATTTTAATTAATTTTTTTATTTTTCAATAGTTTTTATATCAAATACATCAAATCACAAAAAAAAATGTTATAATAAGTATTTTAAATAATCTCTTATGCAAGCACGCCGGATATTTAGATGATGGATGGAAAAGCATGGCTTTTTTAAGCTGCGAAATATCAACGCCTTCATCTCCCTTTCTTCTCTCCTGTTCCATCTAGCAAACTGACACTAATGCAGACAAACTGACTATTGGTATACGAAAGACCAAGTTCCTGGTGGTTGTTTTGTTTGAGGAAATCAGCAGTGTGTAATAATTCTTGAATCACTGTAAGATAAGAAAAGGGATATAATAAGTGAACATAATTAGTCAATTGTCCAAGAATACTCCGGCAAAGAAGATGATTAACTTACTAGACCTACTAAATTAATTACTACAACATGCTAACAAAAATTAATACAATAAAAATCTCAGAAACCAATGACTTGACTACTCTGTTGGATTTGAGTGAGATCTAGATCTGGGATTGCTTCATCATTTCATTTTGTTG